AGAGAGAGAGAGAGAGAGAGAGAGAGAGAGAGAGAGAGAGAGAGAGAGAGAGAGAGTTACCCATGAACATCACAGCCGTCGGTGATAGCAGAAAGCTCACTTCCCAGCAGATCGATCAAGACATCTGATAGGCTGAGTTGGAGGAGGGCAGGAATCAGTATTGCGCCCACACCCGATTTGCCGTCCACCATTGCAAGCAACAGCTCACAACTCTAGCAGGAAGGCCATCATCATATCGTATTGTAAGCAACATCCGACAGTGTGACACAATACAACAACACGGCAACCATGTGTAAGAATGTTTACACGATGGAAGAAACACGTTGACTGTTGTTTGATCCCACATTTCGAGAGAAGGTTAACAGAGGCCCAAAATTTTAGACAACTTATCATGACATTTATAACAAAACCCAAGGGTCGTTTTGACCAAACTGTGGAGAGCAGGTTAACGGAGGCCCAAAATTTCAGACAAATTATGAGGCACCCCCCCCCCTCCCCCCCCAAATAAAATTTGACCTCCAAACCCTTAGCTTCTGCTGTGAACATTGGCGTCTGCCCGATCGCTTGTTGGCATATCTGTTTCCAGATAGTCCATAATGTGTACTGTCTCAACAGCTGGAAGATGTGCTTTTCGTGGGGGTGCCAAGACTTTGGAACGTCGCCTCCTGTCAGTAACGTCCTCCTGTCTTGTGGCATTCGAGCCTCTGCCCATAGGTACTCCGCTTCGCATCATTGTAGGAGGCAATGCGCCAGAGTTTCGAGTGTGCCACCCGTGCACTGGGAGCAGGCTTGGTCCGCTACGTCTCTGTGGTGTCTGCTATGCTGGTCGTACAGCCAGGTGTTGACTGGGAGTGCCACGTGAAGGATGAGCCACTGCATACTCTTGATCTTACCTAACCTGATGGTGTGTAGCTGTCGCCAACGGCAATTGCCTGACTTGTTCTCTCAGTACGTCAACCCTCTTCTCCCATCTCAACGATAGCGGATGGGCGAGCGGGAGTGAGCGCTTCTTTAGACAGTTTCTTCTTTTGAATCTTTTCTTGTTTTCAAGCATTTTCACAAGGTTGGATACCTGCCGACCGCCGACCGTATTGCAGCTGACAAGTAGGGCCGACCGGTCGGCGGTCTGCCGACCAGTCAGAAAACAACCATCCACTGATTGTTTTTCAAATCTGAGTTGGGGGCTGTACTTCACTTGCTGAGTACAGCCCAACGGGGGGGGGGGGTATAGGGGGATATAGGGGGGTATAGGGGGATATAGGGGGGTATAGGGGGGTATAGGGGGGTATAGGGGGGTATAGGGGGATATAGGGGGGTATAGGGGGGTATAGGGGGATATAGGGGGGTATAGGGGGATATAGGGGGATATAGGGGTGGTATAGGGGGTATTGGAGGGGTGTATGAGGGTGTTGGGGAGCTTTTGGGGGTGTTGGGGGGGTGTATGGGGGTATTTGGGGTGGGTATGGGGGTGTTGGTGGGGTTATTAGGGGTTCTGGACCCAAATTAGTATTATTATTTTATTTTTATTTTTTTTTGCGGGGTGCCGACGACCCCCGACCGGTAGGTGCCGACCAGCCAGCCGGTCGGCGGGTCGGGCAGCCGACCAGTCAAGGGTCGCCGACGGTCGGGGTGTGCAACACTGCTTTTTCACCAAATTTATTCACTGCTTTCCTGAAGCATGCTTCTGCTTTGAGCCATCGATACTAACAGAAACCACAAAGTCTATCATCGCAAGCATGACCCATATATATATCTATAGCTCTTCCGATCGAGAACGAGCAGTTCGGGTATGTAGCGGCCCAATGGCGTACCTTCGAGAAACCCCTTCACCTTATGTAAGTCCGTAAAGAGCACTTTGGACCTGTCCAGAAGCCATGTTACCAGGCTCAATCTTTTTAGTCTAGTAGCAATACATTAAGAAAATAGGAGCCACCCGAAATAGTATTAGATCCGATACTTGTCCGAGAGTTTGTATAATCTCCACAAAGAACACAGAACTCGCCGATCTTATCTAGAGAAAGGCCCTTGTTCGTCTGCCGAATCTGACTGACACTCTTAGCTACCTCTAACGGTTGGTTTCCTCTGGAGAAGACCTCCATGCGTATGGAGGTGTAGTAGTGAGAGTAGGAGTGGTCTCAGGCTACGGAGGTGAGGGAGAAGGATCTCTAGCCCGGGTAAAAAGGTGTAGTAGAGGTTGAGGACGGAGGAATAAGGTGGGAACTGGGAAGAAGAGTCAACTTTGGCTATGGTGGACATGCATCTTCATCTCCAAGGTGTAGAGAACTCTGCAGTGTAGTGGAGTTTCCATTCTCTCCACAAAGAGCAAAGACCTCTAGCCCGGCTATAAAGGTGTAGTAGAGGTTAAGGAAAGAGGAATAAGGTGGGAACTGAGAACAAGACTCACCTTTGGCTATGGTGGACTTGCACCTTCATCTCCAAGGTTGGCGCTGCATCAACAAGGCTCCTGAAAGGGTACTGGTTGTGGGTGTGAAGTACTATATAAACTGCTTCCAGGAGAGTAGGCTTGGCTGTAGATGATGGAGAGGGCATGAGAGCATTTGCGTCGTTCTTTGAATATCCAAGGAGGCCTTGGAGAAAGTGGGGGTCCCCGTTAACCACTTGTGCGCCATAGCCATCAGCCATACCAAGGTAGAAGGAAGGTGTAGTAGGCTTAAGAAGGGCTCTTTGCAAGGCCGGAAGTAAGGGGGAGTAATCGGACATGTTCCAAAGCCAGCAGCCAGCCAGACTGAATGCTGCTGGCAGGTGCTGCTCTCCATAGCACTGGTCCGATAAATCCATGGCCAGCAGCCAGCCAGACTGAATGACGCTGGTGCTTTGCCCCCCTGGAACTATTGTAAGCGGGTGTTGGGATGACTCCTGACTGGCGTGGAGAGGCCCTGGTGTGGAAGTGTCCAGACTGGCCCCGACTGGCCTGGGGCTTACCAGCTAGTTAGGAAGACCCGGAATCTTCGCTTGGCATGTAGCCAATGGGCTTATCCTACAGACTGGCCTCGACTCGCCTGGGTCTTAGAAGTTAGGGGAGGACCTGGAATCCTCCCTAGGCACGTAGCCATGACCACTTTAGGGCCTGCCCTCAGCTCTCCTCCCCTCCCCACACAGAACTCCTTACGGCCTTCCTCTCCTCTCCTCTCTCTCTCTCTTTCTTCCCCCCC